CTGGGTCTGCAGGACTGAATTCAGCCCTGGGACAGGGGTGCTCGGCGTGGAATCAGTGAAGTTCTTAAATTCAGGCCCCGGCTGCCCTTTACTAAGGGCGGTGAGGGATGCCAGAGGTGGGGAGCAGGGCCTGTGGCTCCCTGCATGCGATGCTTTGTTTCAGAAGGGCTTTGGCTGCATGTCAGATGCTAAGCTCGGTGGCCTTTGCTGGACATGCCCCTGTGTTAAAGGCAGGGGTGGGTCCAGTCACTGTCTATTTTATAGAAAAGGTTCAATCTTCTTTTGGTCAAACTTCGTGCAGTACAGCAAACCTCAGCCTGCTGTATGGTGCCAGTTGGCCTACAGTGATGGGTGCTATAGAAAACACTGATAGGCAGCAAATCTGGGCTTCCTTGAACTTGGCTTTGGTCTTTCCGTGTGTTCCATCGTTTCTGCCTAGGGGCAGTGTTGACTAGCGCCTGCAGACGCCTTTCTTTGCCAGATTGAGGTCTGCTCCGGAGAGGGAGCTAAAGGGTTAAAGTGTGCATGTTGTGGTGGAGGGGGGAACCTTCATGGCTCAAAACCCTTGAAGAAGGTTCAGATCCTTTTCCCTTCTCTAACTCCTGGGCCTGAGGACGTCACGGATCCTCATTAATTGCACGTACCTGTAACAGAACAGTCACTGTTTGAGATTTTTGATAGCATGGAGTCCTGCTCTCCAATACCTGTCCCGTGTTACCATGCTCCTTGGGGAAATGGTCACTGTGCATGTTGGCTCTCCAAAGTACACTCTGTATTTGAACAGAGAGTCCTGTGGCACCTTATAGACTAACAGATGTATTGGCGCATGCGCTTTCGTGGGTGAATCCCCACTTCGTCAGACGCATGACCTGTGTATTTGAAGGCAGGATTGGGTGTTGAAAGTACTAGGGCAGTTGCGTTCTTCCCCACCTAGTAATTGTTGAAAGACCAAGCCTCCTTCATCCCCAAAGCTAGCTGGCAAATTCTGCCCGGCGGTGCAGATACTATCTGAGGCCAGGCGTGGTGAGGATCCCAGCCCTTTCCTCTGGTAATGAATTTTCTTTACAAGAGCAAGTTCTTTTATTACCACCTGCTGCTGAGCTGTGGCAATCACAGCAGGGGGTGAAATTACTAGATCAGCCTTTAGGAAACACTGTGCTAGTTCTAGTGTGCAAAACTGAGCTGAATCTCAGCAGTCTGGTGTCTCAGGAGGAATACAATGTCTGTACATGGTGTGGCTGAGCCTGTCACTCTAGCACCTGACTGAAGCAGTAGGACAAAATGAAACTGAAAGGGGCCTCTGGGTAGTGCCAGTTTCAAAATGATGGTGAAGGGCTGAGGTATGTGTGCTGCTTATTAGCTATCAAAGGGTGCAGGCCAAGGGAGTGGCATTGGAAGTATTGTAGCACCCTGTTAATTAAATAGATAAATAACATTGTTAAAAAACCACCTGCATGCTGCATAAAATATCCATGTATCATTGCCTTAATGAATTGATTAGTGCTGGGAGAGCCCTGCTAAGTTTCATGTAATCCACCCCCTCCCCGGGCTAATGTAAGATTGTTCCTTATAGTATTTTCTTCAGGGCTTTGTTCACTTTTAAATTACTAGTGTAAATATTAAAAGTATCAACAATGAAAAATCATGAACTGGGCTCAGTCTTCCTACTACAGAGATCTCTAGCACCAACCTCTCTCTTCCTCCATACCTGAGTTCAGAAGGCAGCTGCAGGAAATGAACTGGTCATGAATAAAATGACCCATAGAAAGGACTGAAGAGTCCCAGAAACAGAAGAACTCTGACATCCTCAGTGGGAGGGTTGGTTCCTGGCCCACTCCAGATAGAACCCTGGGAATGGAGAGCAAAAGCAACCTAGCTCACTCAACTGCCTTGATGGGATAGGAACAGTACCTCAGTCCTGGGTCATTAAGGTTCAATCTTTCATCCAGTGGTTGTCCTTTTGAGTGTGGGATTCCCAGGCTTTCTTCTTTCCTGTTGGGGTGATCCTGTCTTTTAATCTGATTGCGGGCTGTCAGCGCAACACTATTCCAGGGTCACCTAGAGGGGAGGTGTTAAAGGACGGAATTAATATGCTACTTCCAAGATGTTCCCATCCCCTCTTGGTAGCTCAGAGCTTGGGACCTCTTGCTTTGAGCAGATGCCTGCAGTCAAGAACTTCCTGAGTGTTAATCTTCTCTTTGCCATGAAGCTCCTCTCTGGGTTTGAGCAAGTTCTTTAGCTTCTCTGGCCCAGTTTACCCATTTGTAAAATTGGGATACTGCTCAGCTGTGTTAAAGAGGGTGTTTGGAGACGTAGCTAATGTCTGTAAAGCCCCTTGAACCATGCAAAGTGCTATAAGAACGGCCACACTGGGTCAGACCAAAGGTCCATCTAGCCCAGTGTCCTGTCATCCGACCGTGGCCAATGCCAGGTGCCCCAGAGGGAATGAACAGAACAGGGAATCATCAAGTGACCCATCCCCTGTCGCCCATTCCCAGCTTCTGGCAAACAAAGGCTAGGACACCATCCCTGCCCATCCTGGCTAATAGCCATTGATGGACCTATCCTCCATGAACTTATCTAGTTCTTTATTGAACTCAGGTATGGTCTTGGCCTTCACAACATCCTCTGGCAAAGAGTTCCACAGGTTGACTGTGCTATGTAAGTGCTTAGCATTGTTGGACTTAGGCAGACTAGGCACAGGAACCTGATGTTTCACTACAGCTTTTGTAGGGTGAGTGGGTAAATTTCCAATAAAAAAAAAAACCCACCCCACAACCTGTGTAAATTATTTTGATACAAATGTGTTTTTGGACTAACCTTTGCCCAAATGTACTAAAATGGTCCCTGATGGCTGCTTCTGCTCCCCGAGCTGGAGGAGAAGATAG